CTCTCAAAGCAATGGCTTCACTGTAGCCTACTGTCATGGGATACTCCAGCCCCCTATGAAAGGCTCTGTAAGGAACAGGATATGGAATTTACTTTGCAGTATAATTGTTTCCTGGCCTTTGATTCTTCGCATTACTTTCAATTGTCTATATGAGATTCCTTTTAAAGTTGATTTTATACACATAGATGTATATGTGTTTATATATGTACATATATACATATATGCATACATACATAGATACACACATACATACATATTACTAGGTGGTGTGGGAAACTGGAAGGAGTAGCTGTAACATTTGTTCCTTTCTTCCTGAGAGTAAAACCCTCAGTTGTTGCTCTAGATCTTTGGAAGTTTAACAGCAAAGCTAAGCCCACATTATTGTAGCTAAGAAGGAATATCCAACATAGGTCCTAATCTTATATGTCCATTTTGGTAGTTGTGTTATTATATGCTTTACTGTAATAGAATTCTTTCTGAAAGGTTTATTGCACCTTAAAAAACAAATTACATCAAACCTGGGTTCCAGTTGACAGCTTGTTATTGGATCAAGCTATATCCATTTACCTATCCATATACATCAGTCAAAAAAAGTTTTCTGGAAAGGTACAATAATATAAAATTTAAATTGTAGGACTATGAAATACTCATTGCAACTAATCAACTCTGTTGTAGCCCAACATAATATAAAAACAAAAGGGTGCGATTGTGTTCCAGTTAAGCTCTATTTGCACAAACATGCGACCCTGGCAAGTAAGGCCTTTCCCTTTCCCTTTCTGAATTTCCTCAGAAAGCATTCCATAGAAAACCCTCAAGTAAGAAAACATAGACGTACACACGTACTGCTCTTCAGATACACATGGATAATTCTGATCCATGACAAAAAATTACTCCAAGTCAGAGTCTCTTGGGTCACGTTTTACTTCAACTTCGAGCAAGGAGTAGGGTTTAAAACTTTCAGAAAACATCTACTCTCTTTTAGGCCACCACGCATCGAAGCTCTGATGTCCTAAATAGCACTGGCATGGTCAGAAAGAGAGTAAATGGGTAGCACTTCCCCCTTTTCCGTAGAGAAATGCATGTTTCCCTGAATGCAAGGACATGTGCTCTATATTCAAAAGCAAGGGGTTGGAAGGCCATGAGAGTACATTTTTAGTTAGCTCCAAAAAGACCATTGTCCTTGTGCTGTTCTCAAAGCCAGAGTAAAGATGAGATAATGACTATAAACACCTACTCTGTTAAATTATAAGCAGCACAATGGCTCAGCAGCAAGTATGCTGTTATGTAGTCTCATTTCTAATATGAATCCTGAAAATTGCTGCTCCATGAACCCATCATCCACCTTTTAGATCAGTGTCTCTAACGTGGTTGCATGTAGCAATCATACGTATATGTTCTTAGCATTTACAGTTTGGGTCCCATTCCAGAACTATGAATGAGATAAAATGTTGGCAGGACTTTCATTTGCCTCTTCTCAAATGGGACTAGAGAAAGTGATTAAATCCATTTCACTTGCTAATTAGAAGTAAATATTACAACTGCCCTTAGCAGAGACCGGGAGCAGAAATGACTTACACACACGTATTCTTCCCCAATGGAGTCATCAACTTCTCTTATGCCCCTAGCATGGAATTAGCCCTCAGGAAAGGAACATCTATAATGCTCATACCATAATTTAGAAACTTAAACTGCCAACTTTTCCTTTCTAATGGTATTTATTAAGAAATAGAATTTAAACAACCAAACACACAAACAAATAAAATACAAAACCCAGGGGCTGGAGAGATGACTCAGTGGTTAAGAGCACTGGCTGCTGTCCCAAAGGATGGGAGTTCTATTCCCAGTACACACATGGAGCTCACAACTGTCTGTAACTCAAGTTCCAGGGAGTCTGACATACCTTCTGGCTTATAAGGGCAACATCCACACAAGTGGCAGACAAAACTAAAAGAAGTTACTCTACCACACAGATTACATTAAGTGTGGAATGTTACCTGTCTGGCCCGTGAACCGTTTTATATATTTTTCTAACTTTTGTTATTTTCTATCATCCCACATTTTAAAAATGGCTCTCTGCTAGAAAAAGGCACAAAAAGAGAGGTCAGCAGAGTGATTGGGGTGAAGCCAGGACAAGAGAGAAGAGCAGGTAAAAATAAGTTTTATTTTGTTTTTTTTAAAGGAAAATAGGTCTCACACTTACTTTCTTTTGTCCATGAATGCATTTTATCAACACACCAACCCTGCCCCTGTGCCCTCTGCAGCACGGGTGGGAAGCATCTACCTTGGTTTTAATGTCGTATTTTCAGATTGCAGGTTAGTACCAGAAAGAAAGTGCAATGGCAAAATAAAAGGCATGCAGGACAGCGCTCCAGGCCCTTCTGAGCAGTCTCCCAAGCTGCTCAGCCTGGGGGTTCACACACATCAGTGTAGCTTCCTTCTCTGCTGATGCACAGGAGGCAAAATAACGAGGCAGTAATCCGTGTGCCTGCAAAGGACATACGAGAATTCCGAGCCGAAAACGTATTTCCGTAGTATATAGCATGTGCAATTCAAATATGGCTTATAGGTTAGTTTGGTGGTCCTATAAAATAAGCTATAATGTCCTTTTAAGTTCCATATATGATGTATGTTAGGTTAGAATTATAGGGCTGTTTTATCTCAGGTATTCTCTGCACAGTGCTCCACGGTGAAAAGAAATTAAAGATGAAATCTACACAGCCAAATCAATTTCCATACTTCACATCTTGTGAAATCGATCCTACTGCTGCAGGCAATAGGTGACAGAGTAAAGGAGTGCTACACTGAGCTGGGAAGATGTTTTTTAAAGCTGGGGGAGTGTGGGAAAGGGACCGGAAGCATCATCTACATGACAAACGCTGGTGACATTACACAGTTACAGCTGGTCATAGGCCCAGCAGCTAGTGCAGCTGCCAGATTCTATTGCTTCAAGCTGCCTTTGCACTCTCATACTACTTGGAAGCTGCAAAGTAATCCTCCCTATTTTGTGTCAAACTAACCCACAGATATCAAGAGAAAGAGGCGATGCAACCCAGCTGTTTTGCAGCTGGAGAAATTTTTAAATTGAATTGAAGGTGAAAGGCACAGACAATCCACACTGTATCCACACTAAATCAGTGGTAGCATCAAGACATCACGGGGTATAGGGATTTTAGACCACAGTAGCTTGTCACCAGGCACACTCGAATGCTGGCCACATAGCGAGCAGTGGTAATTCAATCGCCCTACTCAGTGTGGAATGAGACAGATGCTAAACATGTTTTATACTTTCTTTATCCAATTCCCATTCTAATGAGGTTTTGATGATGACGCTTGCAAATGCTCTGCAACTTTAGCTTGTTCCCTTTCCATGGACCCAAATTCAAAGAAGTTCACCAACTTTGCTTTCAGCTGATAGGTAGAGGACCACTGGTTTAGATTTTTAAGCCACTCCTCCAGGACAGAGACCAACATGCAACATTCACAGAGGCCTACTTTACAAACAATACTCTCAACACCTTCCCATCAAATGATTTTCATGGATTCTGATCCCTGAAAGCTTCACCAGCCACGTGTGAAGGGTGATCGAGGTCAGAATCATCCACCATTCTCAGAAACGTTTTTCTAATTTTCTTTCACCCCCATAGGCCAGCAAAGGGAAACCACACTGAATGAGAAGCAAGCTCGTTACCTCATTGGAAGAGTATTGGGGCACCTGAAGCTTACCATTTGCTCTCAAAGAAAACTACCATTGTAAAAAGCAGTTAACTCAAATTGGCTTTTTTTCTGTTTCTTATGGGAAAAACAGGAAAATAAATGCATACACAACCTTTCCACATTTGGAGTCCCACTTCCACAAATCCTTTGGCAAATTTTTTTAGTTCTCTCATGTGCATTGAAAGTGGACAGTTTTGTGTTGTCATTATTCCCTGAAAAAATGCCCAATATATAATGATGATGTGTGTTATATGTATGTTGTATTGTGTATAACAAATGATCTAGAAATAATTTAAAAATATGTGTGTGGGGTTATTTGCAAAGACTACACTATTTTATAAGAGTGACTTGGGTATCTTCAGGGAGCCCTGGAGTCAGTCCTCTGTGGACATTGAGGGATGCCTATGTTGTGTTACGAAAAAACAAGAAAATGTGACTAGCCTATGCTGAGTGCCATTCTGCATCAGTGTTATCTCCCATGAGTTCCATGCAGGATCAATGAGCCACAAGAGACTAAGGCAACGGAGGAACCGAGAGGAAGAACACAGGAAATGGGAGTGGGACTCAGGGTCTCTCATCCATCCTTCCCTCACATCACTGTGGTCTATTTCTTCCCAGAAAGACTCAGTTTCCTTTCTTTGAATGTGGAGAGAGTTCCTTTTTCTTAAGTTTTAGTCAGGCAGTGACAGAGAGTGTTGAATGAGGTCATGAATACGGAGTATAGCGTGGGACCTGCCCTGTTGGAGAGATAGTAGCTGTTACCCTCAGCCTTCTTCACGGACTCAATTTTCTTTCAAATAATTTCTTTAGCCTTGTCTCTTATTTTTCCCTTCAAATGATAGAAATGAAAACACTTGATGACTAATGGCATGTATAATAAATGCCCTTACCACTTTCATATTTAGAACCATCTGTGAATCCCATTTCAACTGGCTTTGCAAAGCAATTTCCAGCACATCCTACTTGCCATCAAGTGAAGTGGCTATTTCCTTAAAATATGGAGCGGTTTGGTGCTAGGCAGAATATGTATTCATGCACATAAACATAAACATTTTTAATGTAGCATTTAAATATGAACTATGTGACTCCAAAATGCTGCCGAAATACAAACAGAATAATTTCAAGAATAAAGAGATCCAACTAAAGAATATTGAGAGAGGTAATGAAAAGAAACAAGGAAGCTAAGCATGTATGATATGAGACACTGGATCGTGGATAAAATCCTGCTCTGTGAAATAGTTTGAGAAGAAGAAATTTAGCAGCATAGAGTTACTTATCATCCTGACCTTGGTCCAACAGCTCCAGGCCCAGGCCAGCACCAAGTCTTTCTTCAACCGTGACAACACTGAAGCCATGCTGACCAAGGAGGTGCTGGAGGGTCTGAAGCTCTGCTCTGCTGTGTGAAGGAGACTGGAGGAGGACAGCCCTTCTGCCGCGACTGCCAAAGTGTGTCTCAATCAACTCTTCAACCTAAGGAAAGAAAGAAAGAAGACATGAAAACTCAAGGTGACAACATAGTGCATTCCCATTGAAGGGCATCATCAACACACTCCAAGGCCGTTCAGGAAGTTATTGTTCCCATTTCCTCCGGGAATGAAACACAGCGACTCTCCATTCACTGACAAGGACGATGAAAATCTCAGGCAAGAGCTGAAGGTCAGCTGAGTAGCTCTAGCTGTTATGGCGAGACGAATGTTTAAAAACACAGAGTTCCTCGGGGGAAACTGCTGCCTGGAAAGACAGGGTAGCTGAAAACAGAAATTAACAGTAATGACTGTCATCAGAGGAGTCCCGACTACTCTACCATCTAATCAGACTTAGGCAAATGTGATATAGGACATGGACTCGGAGAGGATGGGACACTGTAAAAAAGCACTCAGAACTGAAACGCTGTCAGTCTGTCTGTGACGGTGAATGCTGATTGCCAACCTGACAGGGTCTAGAATCCCACGGCACACAAACTTTTGGGCATGGAGGCAAGGGAGTTGCTAAATGGATTAAGCTGAGATGGGAAACCTCGCTACAGTGCTATCAGCATCATTCCGTTGGCTCTGACTTTTGAACTGTACATAAGGAGGAAGCAAGTCAACCATCAGCATTCATTGCTCTCTGTGTCATAAAGCTATACACAATATGACCAGATCTTTCATGCCCTCATTGCCATGCCTTCCCAACAAAGATGGACTGTACCTCCAAACTGTAAGCCAAAGTAAGTTGATTTTGTCTGGTATTTTGTTGCAGGCATGGCAAAAACGACTACTACTCTATTATTTTTCTCAACTACGGTAGATCAAAGCTTGGTGGCATCTTCACGAGCGTGGGGGAGTCTCAAGTGTTTGCCGACAAGAGCTGCTGAGACTCAATAATTCAGGGTTCTTCCCGTAGTAACTTATTGTTATCCCAAATACATGTTCTTCCTTCTCACTACAGTGCTTAGGTTATTCCATGAGTGAAGGGGGTTTTGGGATACACAAGTAGAAAGTGGGAGAAATTTAAATCCATTTATAGTATCTTAGTGGCAGATACTGAGTATTTTTCTGAGACTCAAAAGTGAGCCTTGATAAAATGAAGTTGGTTTATTGTTGAAGGTGATGAAATTGAACAATGGTCAGGCAAGAGATACAAGAGGTCAAAGAAAAGGAGGCCAAAGGGGTGCTGGAAAGGAGGGGAAATCACTTTGAATGTCAGTTATCCATGAGCTTGTCCACTTAGTGGTTTGGAAACATAAGATCTCCATGGTTTTCAGTACTGAATTTTATAAACCATTATTTCCATTAGCAGATTATGCTGATTTCACTTTTTTCCAAAAGTTTGTGTGTGTGTGTGTGTGTGTGTGTGTGTGTGTGTGTGTGTGTGTGTGTGTGGCTATGTGCACTTACTTATGGTGCCTGTGGAGGCCAGGAAAGAGTATCATGTGTCCTGGAGCTGGAGATTCAGGGCTTTGAAAGCCACCTGCCATGAGTGCTGAGATCCAAACTCTTGTCCTCTGGAAGAACAGCACTTGCTGTTAGCCACTGAGGCATCTCTCCTGACCCCAAATCTACTTCTTTGACACACACCACAAGGCTGTAAGAAGCTGCTTTCTGTTGCTGATCACATAACCCAATTATTTCCATACCTAGTTTCCACTTTGCTCTTTATATATCACTTGCTCTATGTATACCATATAAAGGCCTTCTGCCTATAATGTCTTCATCATCTCACCCATCCATCAAAGTCCAAACCATCCCAAAACATTCAGTCGCTACCTATCTTGGACATTTTTAATTGTGTTGCATATTTCTATCAGTATCTTACTCTATCAGTATCTTACTTAGTGTTTGCATTGATGTGACAAAACACCAGGAGCAAAGAAACTTGGGGAGCCACCAGGTTATTTGGTTTATGCTTCCATATCACTGTTCACCATCAACAGAAGTCAGAACAGGAACTACAATAGGGAAGGAACCTGGAGTCCAAAACTGATGCAGAGTCCATGGAGCAGTGCTGCACACAGCGTTGTTTCTTATGGCTTGCTCAGCTTGACTTCTTATAGAACCCAGGACCACAATTCCAGGAGTGGCATCATTCACAATATGCCGAGCTATCATCTCATATCAATCAGTAAGAAAATGCCCTATAGGCTTGCCTACAGCCCAATCTTACTGGAGGCATTTCTCAGTTGAGGATTCCTCCTTGAAGATAGTTGTATCAAATTGACATAGAACTATGTAGCACAATCAATGTTTATGAAGGATTTTGCATCTCTCCCTCATGTCAACACCTACTGAACCTCACTTACTCTGTTGGTTTATCTCTAATCTCTATCCCAGAACACTGTTCATGCCATATACTTAGCAAGTGAGGATATTTAAATCAATGGACTGTAGTGCATAATCAAAATCTTTAACAATATCTATGGAAAGAAGGAATATTCTTAGCAGGGCATGATAACATGTGCCCAATTGCAGCTCACAGGAGGTTGAGGCAAGATGATAAAGAGTCCAAGAGCAGCGAAAAAGTACACAATGAGGCAATCCAAGAAGAGAAAGCAGAAAATGAAGACAAGATGAGGAGGAAGTGTGGTTAGGATGCTTGAGGGAGGAGGAGAAGGAAGCACTTACAACTTAGCTGCAAACTCTTGCTGTCTGCAAATGTGTAGCCGAAGCCTAGTGAAGACCAGAATACAAATTTGTCACCTAGTCTTTCTAGCACTATCTATGTTATCTTTGACAATATCTTTCTTCTGAGAGCTCTACAAGTGTGAAAGAGTGAAGAATTGTAAAGTACTTAGAGCTATGCTTTCCATACAGCAGGTATTGTCTGTGTGCTTTTAAAATAATAATGTATTATAAAGAACAAGGAGCCAAGTAAGTGTTCTGAGTTTGAGCTATGAGTGACACATCCAAGTGTGAGGAGTGTTGCCCAAAGCAATAGAACATAATCAACTTCTATGCATGGCACTTTGGGAAAAACATACTTAAGCAGTGCTTCCTCCTTTCCTAAAAAATATTGCATTTTATGGATGAAGAGATTGTCTGTCCTAGTTTGCTTCCTATTACGGTAATAAAACCCTGACCAAACCAACTGGGGGAAGAAAGAATTTGGATTGGAGACTACAGTCTATCACTGATTACAAGCCATAGCAGACATTCAAGGCAGGAACCTAGAGGCAAGTAACAGAGACCATGAAGAAACAATGTTCACTGAACTACCCAACTGGGGTTGGAACCCACAGTGGCTGAGCTCTTCAAATATCAACCATTAATAAGGAAAATGTCTCACAGACTTGTTTACAGGTCAGTCTGCTGGAGGCATCATCTTACTCGAATTTACCTCTTCCTAAGTAACTCTAGCTTGTGTCAGGCTGTCAAAAACTAACCAGCACACTATTTAAACTTCCAGAATTTATCTACAAACTGGGACATGATTCCTGAGAAAATGTAATTAAATGAGAAACTCAGAAGGCATATCTGTAGCTGAGCATAGGCTGTGTCCTTTGTTAGACTTGGGATTATAGGGAATGTGTGGCCCTCGCCAGGCCAAAGTAAACAAACAGGCCTCTGGGTAAAAGGGGAAGACAAATGCTTCCAAATATATCAGTGACACTCAAGTTAAATACAAGAGTCCAGAATTTCCCTTCAGGCACTATTTTTTCCCTAACCACAGGATGCTTCCCTCTATTTCAGCTGGCTCAAGGACAGCAGGGATTGGACATGAGCAGAAAGGATCCTAAATTCCAGTCATTTTCATTTTGAAAGCCACCACTCCTCTTTTTTCACTCAGGCAACAGCAACTGAAGCAAGAGCCGTGTAACTTCTACCAGCGCATCTTATTAATGGACACATTTTAAATAATGTAGACTTATCGGCTGTGTTTTATTATAGCCTCGATATCTTGACCTAAAATTCTGATTCGCTTCTGAGACTATAGCAAATAAAGGAAATGAGATTGTCAGTAAATCTGTGATGCAGTATCCTGCAGGATAAACTGCTCTTGTCCTTGTAATATTTATAACACACTGTATCAGCAGAGTGGCCCAATACCAAAGGGCAGGGACAGTTTTAGTTAGTGCAGCGACAGGTGCAAATGCTACATAAGTGAAACAGACACTGGGCAAACAATTAGTCAACCGCACCAACAAATGCAGAATTATCAAATGGGAGAAACAGCACTTTGGGAAGTAGAGCTTGTGATGACATCTTCTGTTTCTAAAGGCCCGTCTTCAGCGGAATCACGCTGAAGACAGTGGAATCATTCTCTGATACATCTTACCTTCAGGCTCACAACCCTGCTGACCAGAATTATTTGCCTCTTTTTCTTATTGAGAGGTTTGCAAAGCTCCTCCTCAGAAATCACTTTGTTGGACTACCTGAGAGTCTTTTTTATAGGTGAGCACATGATTTTTCCTGGAAAGACTTGAAAACATGAAATCTTTATACCTCCTTAGGTAAAGCGAAGGTGGGTTACTGTAATAAAGTACTGAGAGTGCTTGATGGGGCAGTGGGGACATAGATTGATCATCAAAGGCATGGACTTGAATTCCGACTCTGCTATTTGCTTGCTTTACATACCGGGCCAATTTTTTAAAAATCTGTCCACATCCGAGAGTTCTCATATATAGCTAAGAGAACAGATCCTACCTCATGAGCTGGCATTGGAAAGAAAATAAAGTTTTGATATGTACATGTTCAATAACACAATGCTATAACACTAAATGATGCTAAAACATACATAAATGTAAATTATAATATTGTATTGTGGTTGCTCTTTTATATTAGGAATTCTATAAATTGATAAAGTTGATCTCTGTCATAAAAAGAATTTTAGTAATATCCATATGCTTGTTATATTTTCTTTCATAAGGGTCATAATCTTGTTTTATTCAAACAGCAGTCTACTTTTATTAAATTGTTATGTGCACTTTTTTCTTTATTGAAAAATTTTTTTTTCATAGAACGTATTCTGATTACAGATTCCGCTCCCACAAC